TGCAGTACCACAACTCACATTCTGAGACCGCTGTTAACCTTATCCAATGACTGATCAGGACCAAACTTCGCACGAGACCTCTCATGACCCACTTTACGTCCTGGTGTGGTTTGGCCGGGGATGGACCGTGGATTATGGGACTTGCAGTACCATTGCTCAATTCTTCAGACCACTGCAACCCTCATCAATGACTGATCAAGACCAAACTTGGCACACAGAGTCCCCATGACCCACGCTACATCCTGGTGCACTTTCGAGGAGGACAGACCATGGATGATGGGACTTCAAGTACCCACTCCCTTCCCAAGACTGCTGCAACCCTCATCTAATGTCCGATCAAGACCAAACTTGGCACACAGAGCCCCCATGACCCACTCTGCATCCTGCTGCAGTTTGAAGGAGGATCGACTTTGGATGATGGGACTTGCAGTACCATCACTCACATTCTGAGACCGCTGTTAAACTCATCCAATGTCTGATCAGGACCAAACTTGGCACATAGACCTCTCATGACCCACTTTACATCCTGGTGTGGTTTGGCCGGGGATGGACCATGGATTATGGGACTTGCAGTACCTTTGCTCAATTCTTGAGACCACTGCAACCCTCATCCAATTACCGATAAAGACCAAACTTGGCACACTGAGTCTCCATGATGCACTCTACATCCTGGTGCAGTTTGAGGAGGATGCACCATGGACGATGGGACTTGCAATACCTGCACTCCCTTCCTAAGACCATTACAACTGCCAACAATGATGGATCAGGAACACAATTTACACAGAGACCCAGCATGACCCACTCTACATCCTGGTGCGGTTTGGAATAATTTGACAATGGATGATGGGACTTGCAGTCACTTCACTCACTTCCTGAGACGACTGAGACCCTCGCCAATGACTAATCAAGACTAAACTTGGCACATGGAGCTCCAATGACCCACTCTACATCCTGGTGCAGTTTGGAGGAGGACAGACCATGGATGATGGGATTTCAAGTACCTCCATTCCCTTCCAAAGATTGCTGCAACCCTCTTCTAATGACCAATCAAGACCAAACTTGGCACATAGAGCCCCCATGATCCACTCTACATTCTGCTGCTCAGTTTGAAAGGGGATGGACTTTGGATGATGGGACTTGCAGTACCTTCACTCACTTACTGACACCACTGCCACCCTCATCTAATGACTGATAAAGACCAAACTTGGCACACAGAGCCCCCATGACCCACTCTATATCCTGCTGCTGTTTGTAGGAGGATGGCCCATGGATGATGGGACTTCAAGTACCTTCACTCACTTCCTGAAAATAATGCAGCCGTTATCCAAAGACCAATAAAGACCTAACTTGGCATACAGAACCGCCATTACCCACTTTCTATAATAACCCGGGCAATGCCGGGTCTCCAAGCTAGTATATAATAAAGAAGAGTGTTTGTTTGTATCGGACAGAGGAAGGGCGGAGGGCGGTGTATGTGGCAGCGTTCTGATTGGCTGCCACTGTGGTGCTATTTGCATATGGTCTCTGATTGGCCAGCTTCAATAGGAGCCCCTGGTGGAGAAGAGGGTTCATGACAGAAACGGGGCATGACAGAAGGAAATTTGCATATGGTCTCTGATTGGCCCGCCTCAAATCCAACATTCCGAGATGACAAAGAGAGGAAAGGAAAGGCCGGGGGCTGGGTCAGAACACTCCCAATACAGACCGAAATAGGCACACAGAGCCCCCATCACCCACTCTACATCCTACTGCAGTTTGGAGGACTATGAACCATGGATGATGGGACTTGCAGTACCACCACTCACATTCTGAGACCGCTGTTAACCTTATCCAATGACTGATCAGGACCAAACTTCGCACAGAGACCTCTCATGACCCACTTTACAGCCGTTATCCAAAGACCAATAAAGACCAAACTTGCCATACAGAACCGCCATTACCCACTTTCTCTAATAACCCGGGCAACGCCGGGTCCCCAAGCTAGTATAACATAAAACTGGTAAAATTAGTATTAAAAGTCACATAAAGCTATAACAACAACCCCTGTCAACACATACAGCATAAATCAAAATATTACAATTTTAAAAACAACAATAGATAAAACTAGCTGGCATCAATTCAGATGGTACCAAGTGTCAACGTCATTTGGGCCCATTCAGCCCAAAAGGTCAAAAGCTTGTTTGAACATACATGCTTTCAGGTTTGAACAGAAGGATTGAAGGGTAGGGAATAATCTAACCTCTTTTGGGGGGGGGGGGTATTCCAGAGCTGGGGGACCACCACTGAGAAGGGCCTCTCTCTCATACCCACCAACCACAGTTGACACAGAGATGGGACCAAGAGAAAGGTTTCCCCTGTTGATCCCAGAGCCCATGACAGTTCATAGAAAGAGATGCGGTCTCAAATATAGGTTGGGCCCAAAGCATATAGGACTTTATAGGTAATAACCTGCACCTTGAATTGGGCCTGGAAACTTGTCATGCATACACTTGGCTCTGTAGTTTTCTGACTTTGTCTTTTTGTCTTTTGGAAAGCAAGGCCAACTAAACTGATGAAACTGGTCCAGCTGATGGTCACACTGATGTAAGTGGTCCAGCTAAACAGTATAGGTTTCAGTACTTCACAAGGAAGCCCCTATGCCCAATGCTGTATGAATGACAAAACCCTATCTAGAGCAAAAGCATCCTTAGCACATACAACTCTAACTTGCCCTACCATCAAGTAGGATGGGGTAAATACAAGCAAAAAGAGGAAGGAAATAAAGGGGAGAGGCAATGCACCCCAGGATTTCCCCATAATCTCACTTTGGTCCTTGGCCTGGTAATTGTTGCAGGTCTCGTCTGGGATGCCGTGGTGATGCGCATACTCCCAAACGGCCAGGTGGTCCCCTCCGTGGCAGCTCCCTGCCTCGGCACAGTCGAGGACATGCTGGACGGAGAGGTAAGCCGAGGGCCAGGCACCTTTCCTCTTGATATTGATGCGATCTGGAGAGAGGAGACAACCAGCACTTGGAGTGGGACATAAAAAGCAAGATGTAGCATTCTGAAGTTCAGATAAATGTGGCAATGGTGGGAGATACTGGGAAGTGAAAGATAGAAGCTTGAATTGGTGGTAATGGGGGGGGGGGGGGGTAAGAAGATAAAGGTTTTATCATGAACAGAAAACAAACTTAGGATCCAACCAATGAGAGCAGATGAATTAAAAAAAGTACAGCTCTGTGAGTCAAGGAACAAGTATCAGGTCATTTGATGGGTGGCAACTTTTGCTGTATCATTTGTTGCCACTGTATTATTACTGCAGGAAATGGGAAGGCTGTTTGTGGGAGTTTGGCCTCCCACTGCAAAATACTTCAACTGGCTTTAGATCTAGGACAGGCAAAGTACAGCTCTGGGTCCCAAAGCTACCAAACCTTTCCATACGGAAAAAAATTGCATTGATTTTAGAGTTATTTTTCTGCCTGAAAACAAGCCAAAACTGACTTCAAATGGCTGCAAATGTGGCAGTTTAATTTCCAAAGCTAATCAAAGCCATTCCTTTTCAAATAAATAGAGCCAAAGGGCAAACATAATCCCAAAAATCAGGCGGAACTCATGGAACATCACGGCTGATATACTAAAATGTAGCCATAGGCTTGATTCTCCCAGAACATCTTTTTTTTCCTTCACCTTTTAGTGGAAGGTAAAAACTTTTGCCATCCAACATTTATAGACTGATGAGTTTTGAGGTTTTTAAAATCTGTATGATTAGGATTATAAATTGATATAAAGTTTGAATACATTTTAATATTTTTTAGTGTTTAATGTTTTAATTTTTTATTGTTTTTCAAGTTATCCATTTCCATTTTATGTATTCACATTATTTTTAATTAACATTGTTTTTTATGTGATCGTTAGTCCTCTGAGTCCCTCAATTGGGAGAAAGCTGGGACAAAAACAAAGTAAATAAAAGCAAATAAATAAAAAAGAATGATTTGCTTATCCTCGAGGTCTCTTGGAGCGTCAATTAGTTTTGTAAATAGGTACCAGTGTTTGTTTGTTTTCATTATGGGCAGTTTATGTAACCTCCAGAGCAGGCATGGGCAAACTTCAGCTCTCCAGGTGTTTTGGACTCCAACTCCCATAATTCCTAACAGACTATCGACTATTAGAAATTGTGGGAACTGGGAGTCCAAAACACCTGGAGGGCCGAAATTTGCCCACGCATGCTCCAGAGGATCCTGGGACTAAAACCTGACCACACATCCAGCACTCTTCCTGTCCTGGATGTGAAGAAAGCACAAGAAAGCAACCAAAATCCCACTATGAAAACCACTTACCTGCCAAGGCACTGGTGCTGCCGTGGGCCCAGCAAGAGCCGCAATACTTTGGGATGTGCTGGTTCCGAGTGGAGCTCACGTAGTTGACTCCATCTATATTTCGCCAGTCCCAGCTCTTTGGGAGCGTTGAGATGTTCAAACATTCATGTGGACGAGGGTATGTTCTGTTTGAAAATGTAGGGAAGAAGAGGAAGAGCAAGTTAACACTTTTTTCCCCATCCTCTGGAATGAGGAACAAAGTCATCCTCTCCTGACCTCCATTTCTTTCCTTGGTTGGCAGTCATAAGACTTTTCCTTGAAGTGAACTTCCTTCCAAATATCCATGCTGGCAAACTTGCTTTGGAAGTGAGTTACACACTTTTGTGCCTTTGTATCATATTTCTTAAGGACCTCAATAAGATGATGGTGTTGCCTTCAAGACCTGCTTGAGTGTCTCCGAACAGACACCTGGTTGCCCAGATGGGTGGTCCTTTACTCTGTGCTTTGAAGAGTCTCTCAAAAATTGAAATTTTGATTTGGCACTATTTGAGAACAGCAAAGACTGTACGTTTACTGTGGAGGAAACTCCACTGAGTATCTTACGTTAAGGAAACATAGGCAGTGTGGACACAGCTGTGTAAAATCCACATTGAATTGTATTATATGGCACTGTGGACTCAGATAACCCAATTCAACAGATATTGTGGATAATCTGCCTTGAAATAGAATATAATAGCTTTATTTGCCATTCTGTTATTTCACAACGAAATTACACACCTTCCCTCACACACAAGACAAAACAACACACCAATCCCTCCACACACAGAGACACATACGCACACCACCGCACAGCCCCCAGTGCCACATCAGTGTGAAACCAGAGTTCAACATAGCCACAGCACTACGATAAAAGCTAGCCATCAGTCTGTTTTCCCTTGTCTTTGTCACCTTGTACCGTTTGCCAGATGGCAATAATTCAAAAAAAAAAAAAAAAGAACCTGCCAGGTGAGATGGATCCCCAAGAATGCTCCAAGCTTTCTTAAGGCAGTGAGAATTATAAACTTCTTCCAACGAGGGGAGAGGGCAGCTAATGATTTGCTGTGCAGAAGTTTTGATCCTTTAGACCGCCTTCCTATCTGTTGGATGAATTTCAGGAAGGACAAATGTAAGATACTCCACTTAGGCAGGAAAAAATGAAATGCAAAGATACAGGATGAGTGATGCCTGGAGTCTTGGAGTCTTCATAGACAACAAGTTAAACACGAGCAAACAGTGAGATCCAGCAGCTAAAAAAGCCAATAGGATTGTGGGCTGCATCAAAAGGAGTCTATTGTCCGTGATGGCGAACCTATGACATCATCTGTGTCGGCACTTACACGCGTAGCCATTTTCAATGACACAAGGCCGCATGTGCTGCATACAGAGAACTGGTCCCTGGTCAAGTGGTCCCCGGTCTAAGTGATCCCTGGTCAAAGTGGCCCCTGATCAAAGTGGTCTCTGGTCAAAGTGGTCTCTGTTCATACTGGTCCCTGGTCAAAGTGGCCCCTGGTCAAAGTGGTCTGTGGTCAATGTAGTTCCTGTTCAAGTGTCCCTGTTCAAAGTGGTCCCTGGCCAAAGTGGTCCCTGGTCAGAGTGGTCCCTGGTCAAAGTGATCCCTGGTCAAAGTGGTGCCTGGTCAAAGTGGTCCCAGGTCAAAGTGGTGCCTGGTCAAAGTAGTCCCTGGTCAAGTGGTGCCTGGTCAAAGTGGTGCCTGGTCAATGTGCTACCTGGTCAAAGTGGTTCCTGTTCAAGTGGTCCCTGGTCAGAGTGGTGCTTGGTCAAAGTGTTTCCCGTTCAAGTGGTCCCTGGTCAGAGTGGTTCCTGGTCAGAGTGGTCCCTGGTCAAAGTGGCCCCTGGTCAAAGTGGTTCCCGTTCAAGTGGTCCCTGGTCAGAGTGTTTCCCAGTCAAAGTGGTCCCTGGTCAAAGTGGTCCCTGGTCAGAGTGTTTCCCAGTCAAAGTGGTCCCTGGTCAAAGTGGTTCCTGATAATAAAAAAAAAAGGTTGGGAACCAGTGGTCTAAAAGCCTGGGCCAGGCTGGAGATTATTGGTCCAAAAGAGCTTCTGAGCATTATCATTCCTAAATTGCTTCTGAAATGTATTATTCTAACATAGCATTCCAAAGCCCTGGTGTAAACCACAGCAGGAAGGTGGAAGGGATGAGGAGAGAAGGGAGGAAGGTGGAAGGGATGAGGCTAGATCAGGCATGGGCAAACTTCGGCCTTCCCGCCAGGTGTTTTGGACTCCAGCTCCCACAATTCCTAACAGCCGGTTGGAGTCCAAAACACCTGGAGGGAAGGCCGAAGTTTGCCCATGCCTGGGCTAGATGGAAGTGAGGGAAGAGGAGGGCAGGAAGGCGGAAGGGATGCCTCACCTGAGCCCAGGGATCTTCCCCGGCTTGGGCTGGTGGCAGCTTCGCCCTTCCTCCCAGGAGTGGCCGGCGGTGCCGAGGAGAAGCGGCAAGAGGAGGAAGAGGCCGGGCGCGGGCATGGTCCCTCTCCTTCCTCCTCCTCCTCCTCCTCTTCTTCCTCGCAGGGCGGTGGCGGCTGGTCGGGTGTCGAGAGAAGCCAGGGCTGCGTCGGCTGAGTCTTGCGGGGCCAGAGGCTCTCTTCGCACGTCCGCAGCCTGGGAAGGAGAAGTCGGGCGAAGGAGAGGAGGAGGAGGAGGAGGAGGAAGAGGAGGATGGGTCAGGTGCCCAAGGCTGTCAGCCACCGCCCTCCCTTTGCCCTGAGAAGGACTCAGAGGAGAAGGCGACAAACGTATAGAACAGGCATGGGCAAACTTGGGCCCTCCCTCCAGGTGTTCATCCACATCTTGGCTGTTAGGAGTTGTGGGAGTTGAAGTCCAACACACCTGGAGGGAGGTCCCAAGTTGCCTGGTGTAGATTGAGCCTGGCTGGAGGGAAGAGGGGGGAGACAACAGGCTTCTCTCTGGCCCTCCTCCTTGATTTTGAACTAGTTTAGGAGGTACCCAGTTATGCTCAGGTTAGTTAATTCGGTAAGTATAAATATTAGGGAAAAAATATCATTGTTTGTTTTTGGATTTTATAAAGCGTCCCATTAGAAAAGGCACAAGGACCTACCATTAGAGCCTAACGATGATATCTTGTTTACATATTTGACTTAGGTACGCAAGATATTGGAAGCAAAAAGAAATACCAGATAGAATGGCTTTCATGGCCGGAATCACTGGGTTGTTGTAGGTTTTTTCAGACTATATGACGTTTCGCCTGCATCTATGGCAAGCATCCTCACTACCATAGATGCAGGCGAAACGTCAGGAGAGAATGCCTCTAGAACATGGCCATATAGCCCGAACAAACCTACAACAACCTAGACTCATAGAGTTGGAAGAGACCTCATGGGCCATCCAGTCCAACCCCATTCTGCCAAGAAGCAGCAAAATTGCATGCAAAGCACCCCCGACAGATGGCCATCCAGCCTCTGTTTAAAAGCTTCCAAAGAAGGAGCCTCCACCACACTCCAGGGTGAGAGTTCCACTGCTGAATGGCTCTCACAGTTAGGAAGTTCTTCCTCATGTTCAGATGGAATCTCCTCTCTTGTAGTTTGAAGCCATTGTTCCGCGTCCTAGTCTCCAGGGCAGCAGGAAACAAGCTTGCTCCCTCCTCCCTGTGGCTTCCTCTCACATGGCTATCATGTCTCTTCTGAGCCTTCTCTTCTTCAGGCTAAACATGCACAGCTCTTTAAGCCGCTCCTCATAGGGTTTGTTTTCCAGACCCTTGATCATTTGAGTCGCCCTCCTCTGGACACAATCCAGCTTGTCAATATCTCTCTTCAATTGTGGTGCTCAAAATTGGACACAGTATTCCAGATGTAGCCTAATCAAGGCAAAATGGAGCATGGGTAGCATGACTTCCCTCTCCTGAGGGAGAGGGTTTTTCTGTGGTGGCCCCTCAGCTCTGAAACTCGCTGCCCAGGGAGATTAGGCAAGCACTCACTCTGGCAGCCGTTAGGAAAAGCCTAAAAACCTGGCTTTTCCAGTGTGCCTTTGAGGAATGAACAACAAACCCCCATACCATGATTGTCCCAGTACAAATTTGTCTTTCTGGTGCATCACTCAATGAAAATCAACCCCATTGTTTTGTCCCATCTGAATCTCCCACCAGATACACTACTCTATCTACCTATCTCACCCAGTGTTTTATAATTTTATCCCTTGCATTTGGCCCAGCCCACTGTGTTCAATTCCTTCATTATTATATTTTATATCTTGTGTTTACCCTATTGCATTATTTTGTTATTGTTTGCATTTGATTTGATGTTATTATCTGTTGTATGTATTTTGTTTTGCTTTGTTGTAACTCTTGGGTTTGGCCTCATGTTAGCTGCCCTGAGTCCCCCTTGGGGAGATAGTGGCAGGGTATAAATAAAGTTTATCCTCCTCCTCCTCCTCCTCCTCCTCCTCCTCCTCCTCCTCCTCCTCCTCCTCCTCCTCCTCTCTCAGTTCCCCTCAAACCCCACCAGTATTCCCAATTGGTCATGTTGGGTACACGTGCTAAGCTTGGTCCAGATCCATTGTCGTTTGGTTTTACACAGCTCTCTGGATGCAGGTGAAATATAACTCCCAAAAGTTCAAGGTCAATTCCCAACAAACCCTACCAGTTTTCTAAGTGGGCCATGCTGAGTATCCATGCCAAGTTTGGTTCAGATCCATTGTCGGTTGGGTTCACCATGCTTTCTGGATGTAGGTGAACCACAACTATTTATTATGTATTTGCAGTATTTCTATACTGCCTTTCTCATCCTGGAGGGATGGTTTACAACATACTAATTAGTGGTTTACAACATACTAATGGCAAAAACACCGATGCCAACATACAGTACACAAAGAAATCATAACAACTATTTACTGCATATTACTATGAACTCAAACTACAAGAGAGGAGATTCCATCTGAACATGAGGAAGAACTTCCTGACTGTGAGAGCCGTTCAGCAGTGGAACTCTCTGCCCCGGAGTGTGGTGGAGGCTCCTTCTTTGGAAGCTTTTAAACAGGGACTGGATGGCCATCTGTCAGGGGTGATTTGAATGCAATATTCCGGTTTCTTGGCAGGGGGTTGGACTGGATGGCCCATGAGGACTCTTACAACTCTTTGATTCTATGAATTAAAAAACCATTGAACATTAACCATTAAACTCCCAAAGTTCAAGGTCAATTCCCCTCAAACCCTGCCAGAATTCAAAGTTGGCAATGTTGGGTCTGTGTGCCAAGTTTGGTCCAGCTCCATTGTCAGTGGGGTTCACAGTGCTCTTTGGAAGTAGGTGAACTAGAACTCCCCCCAAATCAAGGTCAACCCCCCCCCCCCAAACCCTTCCAGTATTTTCTGTTGGTCATGGGGGTTTTGTGTGCCAAATTTGATCCAGATCTGTCATTGGTGGGGCTCACAGGGCTCTCTGGAAGTGGGAGCCAATACATGCACAAATAGATACATGTGTATGTGTGTATATACACATTTTACTTTACTTTATTCCAAAGTTTTATTCCCAAGTTTATACATCTGAAACAGTTTATAACTCTGGTATTATTATTATTATTATTATTATTATTAGGTTCTTGTGGGTTTTTTTCGGGCTATAGGGCCATGTTCTAGAGGCATTTCTCCTGATGTTTCGCCTGCATCTATGGCAAGCATCCTCAGAGGTAGTGAGCTTCTATGGCAAGCATCCTCACTACCTCTGAGGATGCTTGCCATAGATGCAGGCGAAACGTCAGGAGAAATGCCTCTAGAACATGGCCCTATAGCCCGAAAAAACCCACAAGAACCTAGTGATTCCAGCCATGAAAGCCTTCGACAATATTATTATTATTATTATTTGAAATGTCGGAGCCCCCGGTGGTGCTGTGCCAGCAGGACTGAAGACCGACAGGTTGCAGGTTCGAATCCGGGGAGAGGCGGATGAGCTCCCTCTAACAGCTCCAGCTCCTCATATGGGGACATGAGAGAAACCTCCCACAAGGATGATAAAAACATCAAAAATCATCCGGGCGTCCCCTGGGCAACGTCCTTGCAGACAGCCAATTCTCTCACATCTGAAGCGACTTGCAGTTTCTCAAGTTGCTCCTGACATGACAAAAAAAATTGAAATGTCTCCCCCAAACATGTATACACCTGACAGTAGAATGACCAGATACACTTATGAGGGTTGCAGCTCTGACTTTGACTTTGCACAGGGACAATGATTCAAATATCTTCAGTGAAACTGTGATTTGAGATGGAATTGTAACTCTGACTGAATCACTGTTCCGAAACCTTTTCTTCAGCATAGTAGCAACATGGCTACTATTTGCTGTTAGGGGATGTAGACATTTTTGGAAGGAACTTTCCCAGCTGTCCTGGCTTCAGAAAGTAATTTTGCCTTGAGTTTTAGAAAGGCCCTGACCTCAGAATAAGAATTAACCTGCTGATCAAAATAAACAAACAAAAGCCTGAAACCCTCCTCAGCATCCAGAGATAGTTGTGTGTTTCACCAGTCAAGTCCTGTCATCAAGAATTGTTCATAAAGTTTAATATTAAGTTAGGAACTAGTAAGTTGTATGGATCTTAGCCATCAAGACTTGTTCAGACTTCTTGCAGACACACATATGTGAACACAGAGAAACATACATATATGTATATTAACTATGGAGAAGTAGGAAATGAGATTAAGGTAAGAAACAGCTACAAAAACATGAAATTTGGCTGAGACTCAAAAGGCATAACTGGAATCCTGTATCCATATGAACCAAGTCTTTGCATGTCAGAAGTGTTCCTATGCCCTAATGCTACTTTTTTATGGCATGTCTACAATATGTGGTATTTGTACCTTCCTTCCTTCCTTCCTTCCTTCCTTCCTTCCTTCCTTCCTTCCTTCCTTCCTTTTCTAGACCCCTTGCCAAACGTAATGTACACAATTGAGTTCATATTTAATTTTTTGACTGAACAGGTGTTGTTGCGTGTCTGCAGTTCCATGCTGTGCACATAAACTGAAATGCCCACCTCAATCTTCTTTGTGCTTGGGGCCAAGCCAGGACAACCACCTTTGCCTTACCTGCATTCAGTTGACCTGGATGTATAAGTATTTTCAGGGCAGAGTCAGAATTAGAAAAGGTAGCTTCAACTTAAGCTCCTTCCAATGTCCTTCTCTCGCTCTCTTTCTTTACGTGTCTCCAAATCACCTGCTGACTTACGACACCATGAGTTTCATAAGCTTTTCTTGGGAGAAAGAAATGGATCCATGTGTAATGAGAAGTGGGAGAAAAAAGAAATTAATGAGTGCTGTTTCTAAATTAAGAAAGTGAGGACTAATTTTGCCAGCTGCAATACACTTGATGGTCAGTTTTAATGGCAATGGGTTCAGATAGTAAAGTTGAGATAGAAAACCACATGCAGCTTAACAATGGAGGAATGGAGTCCAGGGGTTCCTGGTTCTTCCCCCTCACTGTTGTCCCATTATTAACCATCTATATGTTTGGCTTGTGCTTTTCTTCACATTTTGGAGAGTAATAGATCTTCAGGAAGAGTTTTCTCTCCTGGGAGCTTCATAAATGGAAACAAGAATGTATGTATGTGTATTTTATAAGACTCTCAAGAAAATAATATAAATCAGGATAATATGTTCTCTAATGGAGTAAATTGTCTAGACTTTATAGCATTTATAGCATTTAACAGTAATGTTATCAGCACATTATAAGTAAATATAGGTTATCTTATCAACATAGAGTAATGAATAGTAGACTAGCGATAATAAAGTCCATCCTTTCCTGAAGTCAGATTTCAGTGCAGGAATTCAACAGTCTCTGTCTTTATCCTCAAAAGAATTCTTCTTTTAGCAACACAGTCTTTAAGGAGTACTTCTTATGCAGCAGAGTCTTCCTTAGGTAACACAATTTCTACAAGGTCTCCCGGTATGTTCTCCTTGTTTCGAAAAATTATCTTCTTCAGGATGTAGTCTGTTATCACATATATATAATGCAACTCTCTTTACACTGTCTTCAATAGTACAGGCTCTGTTCTGGAGGAGTTCTATAACGAATTCAGGAGACACTTTTGTGATAAATAAATTACTAGGAAGAGATGGCATACCAATAAAAATATTTCAAGTTACAGAGGGAAAAGCCACTGAATTTCTAAAAAAATATGGAAAACAAAACAATGGCCAATAGATTGGAAATTACTGTTTATTAGTTCAGTTGCTTCTGACTCTTCGTGACCTCATGGACAAGCCCACACCACAGCTCCCTGTCGGCCGTGCCCCCCCCCCAGCTCCTTCAAGGTCAAACCAGTCACTTCAAGAATAACATCCATCTTCCTTTGTTCCTTCCATTTTCTCCAGCATCATTGTCTTCTCCAAGCTTTCCTGTCTTCTCATGATGTGGCCAAAATACTTCATCTTTGCTTCTAATATCCTTTCCTCCAGTGAGCAGTCGGGTTTTATTTCCTGAAATATGGACTGGTTGGATCTTTTCACGATCCAAGACACTCTCAGAACTTTCCTCTTACACCACAGTTCAAAAGTGTCTATCTTCCTTCGCTCAGCTTTCCTTATGGTCCAGCTCTCGCATCCATAGGTTACTTACGGGGAATACCATTGCTTTAACCATGCGAATCTTTGTTGCCAGCATGATGTCTCTACTCTTCACTATTTTATCATTGCTGAGTAAATACAGTTGGGCATCCCCCAGGCAACATTTCTTGTAAAAGGCTAATCTTTCCAAACCCAAAAGCATTGTTTTTAAACATCTGAAATGTTTTAAATTGGAGGTGTGTCTTTTTTTCCTCCACATATGGATAACAAATAAAATTATTATTATTATTATTATTATTATTATTATTATTATTATTATCATCATCATCATCATCATCTCCACTGAAGGCAATGTACACTTAGGATAAAGGTTGCATTTTAGCCTATTTCACCTATAAAGATAACACAACGTTGCTAGAAACAAAAAAATAATGACCACTGAGATTGTTTACTTCCATTTAATGCAAATGGTGAAAATAAAACAGGTAAAAGACTTTCTACAACCCGGCTCAGTCGTCACTCAAAATGGAAACTTTATCAAGAAATCCAGAGAAGACGAAGAACAGGAAGGGCACTTTGAAGAAACTCTAACCTTCAAGTGTAAAGCTAAAACATTAAATACCAAAGTCAGAATCATCCATGCCACAATATTTCTGATTTCTATGTCTGGTTGTGAAAGCTGGAAAATGAAAAAAGGGCTGCCAGGAACTCATTTGAAATTAACTCATTTGAAATGTGCTGAGAAAGGAAGTTTTAACAGATTCCATGGACTGTCAACAAGACAAAGCCTTGATTTTGCAAGACCTGAGCAAGGCTAAGAAATCTTTCATTCATAAACATTGAGGTTGACCGGATGGCAATTAACAAATGGGGTTGAGAGGAAGAGACTTTACATCAACTCCAATGAAAAATATTCTGTGCTTGGTAGAACAACACTTTCTGCATCCATGACAAAAAAAACCCCTTTGCATTAATATGGCATCATCTTCATATCCAGTTTCTAGTTTTCTTATTGTCATGACTTATCTAACGCTCGGACTGTTAAAAATATAAGATCAAATTATATTCTTACCCAAAAGAGAACTGGTTCTAAATTAGTCTCTCGTGTATCATGCTGTTTTTCATTCCACAAAGGTAATGTCAAAGATGCACTATTGTACTATTATGTGGCTGCTATGCAGTCAAAGAAATTTAACTGTATTTTCACACAGCGTTGTAATATATCACCAACAGTTATAAAAAGAACTATCATTATAGAACAGCAAAGACTGTGATTCTTTGCTAGAGGGGCTACAGGAAAAAAAATCTGATAACATATAAACATATGTGGTACTCAGATATAGAAATCTGGCAAAGAGATACAGATTTGTGAACCAGGTTCATAGTGGTTTTCTGGAATGCAATCGAAACCAAGTGTCTTGAAATTACTTGGCAACTGAGAATTCGTGCTATTTTTTTTCAGACTATTATGTCATCAACAACAGCATTATTGCCTTGATTAACAACTAACCTGGAGTCAAAAGCAACATCTTGCAGCTTTTTTGATCATCTTCAAAATGCTTAGGCCATTCAAAAAATTTAGGTGAAGTAAATTGAAGTGGCAACATTCAAGAAAAGTAAAATTAAATTTGGGAAACACACCAGAGCGACCTTCCTAGGTCACCTGAAGCATCAACCAGCAAACTGTTCTTTCTTCTTCTTTCCCCCAAGGCTATTTGCATTATCCTCTGCAGTAATGCACGAAGGTGGGATATATAATCCATGGTATCATCAGCGAATAGGATGTTTTCTCCAGTTCAGTTGACCACAATGAAATTTGATTTACAGTGAGCTTAAAATAGGAAACAAAAACCGAAACAGGTTGCGTTAGGAAGCCTTCAACTGATGCAGATTGCTAGAATTAGAGTAAACAGAGATTCCAGACACAAAACTGTGCGAGAAATATTTTACCTATGAATTCGGTGACAGGGTCGTGCTCCCCTTCCGTCTTAATAGTGCCGGCAATGCTGTCGTTCTCCAGAATTGGAAGGAAAAGCTGCACAAAGTCAGAAGTATATGGAGGAGCAATCACATCCAGTACCTGATGAAATGTTAGATGGCAAAAAGAACACAGTCAATATACAGCAGCAGCAAAGGCTCTGGTTGATTTGTTGTTGTTGTTTTCTTAAGAAAGGATTTCACAATTTTACATCCATTTATGTATTTGCCATTTATATGCAAATATAACATGGGACAAAAAACCCCTTGATCCTGCCAACAGAGAAATACTGTATATACTTGAGTATAAGCCTAGTTTTTAATCCCTTTTTGTAGGCTGAAAAAGATCGCCTCGGCTTATACTAGAGTCAATGCTATTTATTATTTTACTTTGTTGTTGTTGCTGCTGTTATTATTATTAGTTTACATTTATTATTTTACTCTATTATTATTATTATTATTACATTTATAATTTTACTTCACTATTGTTGTTATTATTATTACATTTATTATTTTACTCTATTACTGTTATTATGTTTCCCTTATTTTACTCTATTACTATTATAATTATTATAATAACATTTATGATTTTTCTCTATTATTATTGGAAGGATACTTAAGCACATTTACACCGAAGAAGGTTAGAATAATGGTTTAATCAGAGTCTTATCTTAAATTTCAATATTATGTAAATATTCAAAAACATTTATCCTCCTGATGTCTCAATTAATGTAATTTTATTGGTATCTATTTTTATTTTGAAATTTACCCGTTGCTGCTGCATTTCCCACCCTCGGCTTATACTCGAGTCAATCAGTTTTCCCAGTTTTTTGTGGTAACATTGGGTGCCTCGGCTTATATTTGGGTCGGCTTATACTTGAGTATATACAATAAGTGACAAACACTCTAGAGCTGTAATCATGAAGTAATGTGAGAAATGTCATTATCCAAAGATCACACAAAAGTTGCGCTTGAAAATTCAAATGCATTTTGGACTTCGCTTCAGGAGAGAAGCAAAAAACCAACTCTTTGAGAATTGAGATGAACTGAAAGGAAGCATATTGGGTTGCTGTGAGTTTTCCGGGCTGTGTGTCCATGTTCCAGAAGCATTCTCTCCTGACATTTCGCCCACATCTATGGCAAGCATCCTCAGAGGTTGTGAGGTCTGTTAGAAAGTAGGTAAGTGATGTTTATATATCTGTGGAATGTCCAGGGTGGGAGAAAGAACTCTTGTCTGTTTGAGGCAAGTGTGAATGTTGCAATTGATCACCTTGATTAGCATTGAAAGCTTGGCTGCTTCCTGCATGGGGGAATCCTTTGTTGGGAGGAGATTAGCTGGCCCTGATAGTTTCTTGTCTGGAATCCCCCTGTTTTTGACAAGACAAGAAACAATCAGGGCCAGCTAATCACCTTCCAACAAAGTATCCCTCCAGGCAGGAAGCAGCATGGCTTTGAAGCTGCAAGGCTATTCGATGCTAATCAAGGTGATCAATTGTAACATTCACACTTGCCTCAAACAGACAAGAGTTCCTTCTCCCACCCTGGACATTTCACAGATATATAAACCCCACTTGCCTAGTTTCCAACAGACCCCACAACTGCTGAGGATGCCTGCCATAGATGTGGGTGAAACATCAGAAGAGAATGCTTCGGGAACATAGCCATACAGCCCGGAAAAGTTATACCAACCCGGTGATTCCAGCCATGAAAGCCTTCAACAACACAGGAAGTATACTATAGTACTTAAAAAATTAAACGTGTTATTAAAATATGACATCAACACAGGAAAAGCAAGCACTATCATTATCCAACTTAATTCTCACCAAAGAAGCAACTAATATAATAATTCTAGACAAGGAAAATGTACTCACTGACCTCAGTCACAAAGTATCTGATCAGCGAAATGTCCGTGTCCAGTTTTTCCAGGCACTTGCGGATGTAGCCAACCACCGGAAGGACGTATCCACGGCTCAGCAAGTGCACCATCCTGTCCAGGAGAGTCTTTTTGAGCTCCAGCTGAAAGGACAGAGAAGAGGACACGATGCCTGATGCTCAGTTTGTGAAACGGTACTATACACTCATTGCAGCCAAGGCAACACATTACGAAGTGGAGACTAGCAAACATCTCTCGGCTGTTAGGAATTGTGGGAGTTGAAGTCCTAAACACCTGGAGGGACGAAGTTTGCCCATGCCTGGAGTTCTAGAAATGGACAACTTTGCAGAATCACAATTTCCAATAATGTAGGCTACATCCCATGATGGATTAGTTTATTCCTCACCTGCTCCATGACATCCAGTTGAGAGTGCTCAGTCTCAAAAAGTTTGACAAGTAGCTGCAGGACAAGAGGGTGAAGCAGCTGATGGCAGGTACTGATCTACAAAGAAACAAAAAATTATAAAAATATTTTTATTAACACACTAATGTATATACCTATGTTGCCTGGTTGTTGGAGAGAGCATCCCATCCCCTGATTTCATCCCTTCTTCCTCTTTCTTTCCTTCCCTTTATTCATGCCTTTTTCACTTTCCTTCCTCTTTCTTCTTTCCATTTTTCTTTCTTTCTGCTCTTTCTCTTCTCCTTTCCTTCCCTTTCTCTCTTCTCCATCTCTGAGAGGTTCTACCCTGTTCGTGACTTCTTCCTTCCTCGTATACTCATATCACCTTTCTTTCCCAGAGGGCCAGTTCACCTTTGGCCAATCCAATGACATCACAGAGGGCTACTTCACCCAGCAATAGCCTTCGTAGTATAAAAATATAGACAGACTTTGATTTTTATAGATAAAGATGGTCACGAGACAACTATCTTAAAAGCCAACATGCTTATAAGTTAAGGGGCCATGGGTGGTGCAATGGGTTAAACCCTTGTGCTGCTGAACTGCTGACCTGAAGGTTGGCCATTCAAATCCATGATACGGGAGAACTTCCGCTGTTAGCCCTAGCTCCTGCCAACCTAGCAGTTTGAAAACATGCAAATGTTAGTAGATCGATAGGTACCATTTCAGCGGGAAAAGGCAAAAAGACACTTCATGCAGTCATGCCAGCCACACAACCAGGAGGTGTCTACGGACGATGCAGGCTCCTTGGCTTGGAAATGGAGAAGAGAACCTCTCCCAGAGCCAGAAATGAAAGGAAGGAGAAACATTTGCCTTTGTCTGTGTATTTATGTCTCATTGTATTTCATTGTAAGAAGGCATTGAATGATTGCCTGTGTCTGCTTATATGATGTAATCCGCTCTGAGTCCCCTTAGGGAGAAGGGCAGAATATAAATAAATTATTATTATTTGAAACACAACAAGATTAGTACACAGCAAACAAGATCACTATGCTGGTTGTTGTATTGGATCACATTTCGGACACTTCCCAAGTGTCTAGGACTGTGATGTATCGGTGAATAATGCGTGCAGATCCCAGTAGGATGGCCTTTTGCAGTTGACAGATGGTATTATTATTATTATTATTATTATTATTATTATTATTATTTTATTATTAGCTGTACCCCCCACGTGTTGCCATGGCCAACCCTCCCTCCTTCTCTCCTTTCCCTCCTTTCTTCGCTCCCTCTTTCCTTCCTTCCTTTCCTTTTTTTTCTTTCCTTTTCTACCTCTTTCCTTCCCCCTTTTTCTTTTCATCCCTCTTTTTCTCCTTTCTTCCTTCTTTCCTTCCTTCACTTTTTGCTTCTATCCATACTCTGTCTTTCCTTCTTTCCTTCCCTCCCTTTCTCTCCTTTCTTCCTTCTCTACCTCTTTCCTTCCTTTCTTCTTACTTTCTCTTCCATCCTTTTCTACCGCTTTCTTTCCTTCCCTCTTTTTCTCCTTTCTTCCTTCTCTACCTCTTTCCTTCCTTTCTTCGCTTTTTGCTTCTATCCATACTTGTCTTTCCTTCTTTCCTTCCCTCCCTTTCTCTCCTTTCTTCCTTCTCTATCTGTTGCCTTCCTTTCCTTTTTTTCTTACTTTCTCTTCCTTCTCTACCTCTTTCTTTCCCTCCCCTTTTCTTTTCATCCCTCTTTTTCGCCTTTCTTCCTTCTCTACCTTTTTCCTTCCTTCACTCTTTGCTTCCTTCTCTCTGTCCTTCTTTCCTTTCCTCCCCTTTTCTTTCCTTTTTTTTTCTTTCTTTCTCTCCTTTCCACCCTCTTCCTTCCCCTTTTTCCTGTATTGTCATTTAACTTTTTGTCATTTGGCTTTTTGGGGGTTTTAAGTCCTTTCCACGTTTTTTTTTTTTTGGGAGGGGGGTGTTATGAGTGATGGTCACTCATTGGTCTGTTAGGGGTATAGTATCCAAATTTCGTATTAATTTGTCCAGTTGTTTTTGAGTTATGTTAATCTCACAAATGAACATTACTTTTTTATTTATATAGATGATGATGATGATGATGATTATTATTATTATTATATACTGCTCTCCCTTATCACTGTGTTCTAAAGTTCATCAACAAAGATAGAGTACTACAAATGTGAACCCTCCTCGGATTAGCAGGAATACAATAAACTGAACAGCACTACAAACTTCACATTTCTTTTTTGGCCAAATTTGATGTTGTTCTAAGTGCAGCAAAACGGCAAACCCTTGGTCCTACCTCATCAAGTAACGCCAAGTGCACTGGAGTGTGATCAGTCTGAAGCTGGAAGTATCGAGGCTCCGAAACTGTCCAGTCGACCCATTTCAGAACACCCATCGCCACTACTGGAAACCTAAAGATCCAAGGGATTAACATAAAGAATAGAATCCGATAAATCTGTGGTCACTTGGAAGATTCCAGCTCTGAATACCAACCCTTCTCCATTTCCCTCTTAGGTACATTTTTTCCACTCTTGGGAACAACCTCTGTCAGCTCCCAAACATATTGTAGAAGACCTTAAATATGGAATAAAAACTGAACCCTTCCCTAAAATATATTTACTCAACATGCTTTAATGCAGAGGCGAATGAGTCCAAAACACCTCCGAAGGAGGCCCTGTTACACTCCAAGGCTGGGAACCATCTCTGTACTTAACACACACTCCAGTCCAAGATAAAATAGCAAAGCAGTTTATTGAAAAATATATATGAAAAGCAATTCAGCAAAAATAATATTAAAAAAAACCCCAAAGTCCAAATAGCAGGAATAATCCACAGAAATGATAGTACAGGAGTAGCATCAAAAACCAGGAATACGAAAGCAGAATAAATCCAAAACATGAGATTTATGAAGTGTCCTCAAAACTTGGAATCATGAGACATGAACAAAAGGGAACATGGAACTAGAAATCCCTTGACTCGACTGTAGTTCTATACTCAAAATACCAGCTTTGCCTGAACTAATGGGCCCATTTGCTGGGCTAGCTAATTTAGAGAGAAAATCATGCCTTCTTCCCTGGGAAACTGATAAGGACTTTTTGGATAATAAGTGTCTTGATCTTTGTAAACTCTCCTGAAAAGCTCTATGTTGTCGGAATGTAAATCTCCTATCTAACTGCTCATTAGTCTGTCCACCTGGACTTCCATTTTCATCCTTTGAGTTCAGATCTGTTTCTGAACTTGCTTTCCTAGCAAACTGTATTTCAGGAATGTGGCCTTCAGACACAGAGCGCTCATTTTCAGGGCTTAAAATCTCTTGCAGGCTCTCCTGCTGACTTGCAGACCCAGAATCCCCAGTGTCATCAGAATGACTAACAGGCCCAGAATCCTCAGAGAGACTAGATTGAGACACAATCAAAGGTTGAACTACAACAGGCCCATACCTGATGCACTGGTAGAGGGTACTCAGCTCTGCCACAAGTTCAGAAGCTCCTTTGTTCTCGTTACAGCAGAGATTGTGAACGGTTTCCACTGCTTTCGAAGTGGACTTGAGTTCATCTTTATTGATGCTGACCCTTTTGTTCTAAGGAGATAAAATATGGTTTCAAGAGACAGAAAAAGAGTCATAGATGCTTTTGCCGTTTGCAACTTTATTTTGCCAGCTTTCCCAAAAATCTAATCTTTTCATGTTCTCATATTCCACTTTCCAATTTCAGATTATGTGGGATAAGGAGAGTCATTGACTGTTAGAGCAACATCTAATCCAGTGATGTAACAAAGGGCCATTTCACCTAACAACAGCCTTTGTGTTATAAACAGACATATTTTGACTTTTATGTCACCCATATTTCTTCAACTGTAAGATGCCACTGATTGTAAGATGCCTCCAAATTTTTTTAAATTTTTTAAATTAAATTTTACATAATACAATGAAAGAATGAGAACAATAAAAATAAAGAAAAAGAGAGCGAAAATAGAAACATATAAGATAGAAACAAATGTTTCAGATACCCCCAAATTTCAGTACCACCACTATCAATGAAAATGCACCTGAAATTCTAAGACGCACCCCACTTTTACAGATGTTTATTCAGAAAAAAAGTGAGTCTTAGAATTGAAGAAATACAATATATAGATGAGGACAGACCAAAATCCTAACACACCCCTTCTCTCATGCTGATGCACCAACTATGGGGCAATTAAGCAACAGAAAAAAAGCCCACTGAAATTTACCTTTTTCCATGTTTCCACAACACTGGCCGCATAGGCCAAAATATGGATATATTTATGCTTATGGTCCTGATTGATTTTAGCGCCAGGCTTAAACAAGGACAGCATGAAGAGATCCAGGAAAGCAGGAACTCTAATCTGCAGGAGCAAAACCATGGCAAGAGTGAACTTCTGCATTACAGCATTTGAAAAAGAAAAAAATAAAGCCTTTTTTTTATTCCCAAGGAAGACCATTAACTGGCAAGTAAGCAGCCTAGTGTTAAAAGATTAAAAAAATAATAATAAAGAGATGATGATGATGATGATGATGATGATGATACCATCTGTCTGTGCCAAAAAGCTGGTGGGATCATAAGCCTGAAAAAGTTACAGAAAATGAACACATCAAACTACTTTGGGACTTCTGAATTCAGACTGACAGAGTTTTGGAGCACAATACTCCTGACCTCACGGTTGTGGGGAAAAAAACAAAGTGTTGATTGTCGATGTTGCAATCCCAGGAAACAGCAGAATTGAAGCAACTGGAAAACTTGACACAATACGAGGATTTAAAGACTGAACTGCAAAGACTCTGGCACAAGCCAGTAAAGCTGGTCCCAACGGTGATTGGCACACTGGGAGCACTGCCTAAAGACCTTGGCCTGCACTTAAAAACAATTGGCGCTGACAAAATTACCATCTGTCAGCTGCAAAAGGCCACCCTACTCAGATCTGCATGCATTATTCACTGATATATCACACAGGTCCTAGACGTTTGGGAAGTGTCCGATGTGTGATCAAATACAAAAGCCAGCGTAGTGGTTTTGTTTGCTGTGTACTAATCTTATTATGTAGCAAATAATAAAATAAAAGAAAGAAAACAGAAAAGAAAACAGAAAACAAAAAAGAAAGAAAACAGAAAAGATACAGAAAAAAAGGAAGAAAAAGGAAAAGTAGTTTATTTATTTATTTATTTATTATTTATTACAATATTTCTATCCCGCCTTGGTAAGTGTCCGACGTGTGATCAAATACAAAAGCCAGCATGAGATCTTGTATGCAGTGTACCAATTTTGTTGTATATCAAATAATAATAATAATAATAATAATAATAATAATAATAATAAGGGGGCATGGGGTATGTGGGTAAGAGGAAAGTTATATACCACCTTTGAATACAATAAAAAGTGTTAAAATTATGTATAAATCTGGGGATGCAGCCCACGCTGTTGAAGGAGAAGCACATAACGCTGTTACTAACCAGTTCTACAGGCGGAGGATCCATGCTGGTGAACATTTTGAAAAGGACCGTGATGTCTGCTGGGTTCAGAGCTCCCTTTGACAGCATGGCTCCGAGGGCCTGGCAGGCGCGAGGGTACGAGGCAGCGGTTCCCAGCGCTAAGGTTATCTGACTGGCATCATGTCCCCTTGGTAAGAACAAAAGAAGGGTGGAATCAACAGAGGGAGCTTGTTTTAAGCACTCCAGAGACTGCCTGACATTGGACAGATAGCACAAGAAGCTGATTACTATGGAATCATCAAAGCTTGATGGCTATGTTTAGAAGAACAGAACTGCATTGCTAAGACCAGGTATGGGCAAACTTCGGCCCTCCAAGTGTTTTGGACTTCAACTCCCACAATTCCTAACAGCTCATTACATTTTTGGATATAAAATGTGTAATGAAGAATCTCAACATATTAACCAAAGGTAGTGGTTTTCAACCTGTGAGTCCTCAGGTATTTTGGCCTACAACTCCCAGAAATCCCAGCCAGTTTACCAGCTGTTAGGATTTCTGGGAGTTGAAGGCCAAAACACCTGGGGACCACTAGGCTGAAAACCACTGAGCTGAGGTAAGGTTTTGATCTCAGAGTGTAACAATTCATGTTTCTTTTTGTGTTGGGCTTGTGTTGAACTAACCCAAGAATGAAGGCTGTGGAGCAAATCAGGAATTAGTTTGAAAGTATGGTAAAACCTTACTTCTCGTGAGCAAAGCGTTGCACCTCCTGGGCGATCCTGCGCACCGCAGAGCCACCTTGCTCTTCTTGGGCTAAGATGGACATGATGGCTTGGGCAAAGAGATATGTGTGTTCGCCATGGCACACCATTTTCTGCAAATCCACCAAGACATGTATTATTAGTTACTTGTTCAGTGAGCACATTTCATTCTGTTTTATTTTTATTACTAGCCGTCCCCTGCCACGCATTGCTGTGGCCCAGTCTGTTGAACTGGAAAATAAAGTAATGAGAAAGTGTTGGTTTCTAATATATGTAATTTCTTTATGCTTGTGGGTAAACAGTATTTCTTGTTGTTTCTTTGTCAGTGTTGATGTGGGAAGTGTCTGGTTTGCCCACCCTGGAACTTGCAACATATCATTGTCCTTCTTTAAGGGCCCCTTTCAAATCTATGATACTATATCTCTGTGTGTGTGAATCATATCTATCTATCTATCTATCTATCTATCTATCTATCTATCTATCTATCTATCTATCTATCTATCTATCTATCTATCTATCTCTATGGCTGGATGGCTCTTTGTCAGGAGGACTTTGATTACGTTTTCTTGCCCTGATGAAGGGAGTTGCATTGGATGGCCTTAAGTATTTTCTATTGGACATGGGGGTTCTGTGTGGGAAGTTTGCCCCGATTCTGTCGTTTGTGGGGTTCAGAATGCTCGATTGTAGGTGAACTGTGAATCCCAGTGACTACAACTCCCAAATGACAAAAATCATAATTTGTTGTGTGATGGTCACTCCTTGTGTTGTGAGACGTTTGTTGCCAAATTTAGTGTGATTTCGTTCATTGGTTCTTTTGTTTTTAAGGTACTCATTAAGCACAGAGCATTTATATATATATATATATATATATATATATATATATATATATATATATATATATATATATATATATATATATATGGATATTGGATATTGTGATGATTGCAAAACCTTGAAAAAAGTAGACTATCTGTAGGCCTTGAGCTTTATCAAAATATGCAGAAAGTGGCTCACTGTTGGCATCGTATATGAATGCCTGCTGCAGGCATGAGCAAACTTCAACTCTCCAGGTGTTTTGGACATCACAGTTCCAAACCCATTCATTCTTACTGAAAAGGGCAAAGAAATACTTTCAAATAAAAGGCCTCAACAGTTTCTAACTTCCTAACATAAGCTTCTGCACTCAGCTCAAACAATATTGTTTTGAACTTAAACTTCCACAATTCCTAACTGCCAGTGTCATGCAGCAGCTAAACTGTTGGTCTGGGAGTTTTGGAAATCCAAATCCTAGTGCCCAGAAGCCACGAAACTCACTCACATAAACTTGAGCCAGTCAGATTCCCACCCTATGCTACTTCATAGGGATGCTATGAGGAGAAAAGGGGGAAGAGGGCAGAAATGTGTGCTGTTCTGAATTTATTGGGATAGAAATATAATCGGCAATTATACTGGGCTTCTTTAAGAGGAGGAGGCAGTGGTGGTAACAAGATGACACAGCCTTTGAAAGCGCAGCTAATAGGAAAGGTTGCCATAAGTTGGAACCAACTTGAAGGCACATGACGATAACAACATTTATTAAGTTAAAGATCCACAAGCATGACTTTCACAGTTCCAGCTATTTGATAAGATAATTAAACTAACTGTGAACATTATATAAGCTGAAATATTTTAATCAGCAAGATGTTTAGGGATACTTTCTGTCTGGTTGGTTTTTTGTTTTTGTTTTTCCAAGTCTGGGAAAATTACAAAAAAAGAAAAAGGAGAACAATGTTAGGAACTGTTCCAAAGTCCTGAAGTAAATACCTACTTCTCCAGCATCAACAGGGAGTTAGGAAGGAGGCATGGAGCTGTAACGTCCTGAGCAATGGAAAGAGTATCTAAGCCAGTGGTTCTTAACCTGTGGGTCCCCAAATGTTTTGGCTTTCAACAACCAGAAATCTCAATAGCTGGTAAACTGGCTGGGTTTTCTGGGAGTTGTAGGCCAAAACACCCGAGGACCCACAGATTGAGAACAACTGGTAAGCACTCTTCATGCAAGATACCTTGCATATCAAGGAACTATGCGACATTGTAGGCATCTCAGTTTCAAACCCACTCATTCTTACTGAAGAGGACAAAGAGATACTCTCAAATAAAAGGCCTCAACAGTTTCTAACTTCCTAACATAAGCTTCTGCACTCAGCTCCAACAATATTCTAACAGGGTCAAGGCTAAAACAGACATTCCCTGTCATCCTGTTTAAAACTAAACATTCTAAACTGTTGCTAAGTCACATGATCTGCAGCCCTTCCCACTGCTTAAGGTATATAGAGATAAGGAAACTGCAAATCAAATAAGACATATACTTCATGTTATAAAATGACACATTATAAAACAGATTATTTATTTATTTATGGGGCTACAAAGTGGAATCCACGACATGTGAGTGTGGAGAAGAGCAAACTACTGACCACCTGCTGCGATGCAACCTGAGCCCTGCTACATGCACAATGCGGCAACACCAGAGGCACTCCAAGTAGCCAGATACTGATCAAAGGACATTTAATCAACTACCAAGCTTGCAAACTTTGTGTTTTGTCTGTTTGTTTGTTTTGTTCTGTTAGAAATGTAATACAATGGTCTGGTTGCCCCTGACATGATAAATAAAACAGATAAACATCATATAGAGGAGGCTTGAGAAGGTTGCTTCCCCAACAGTTCCCAACCCATCCATTCTTACTGAAAAGGACTAAAAAGCAAAACTTACAGCAAACTCAGGCAGGTTCTTTTCCAGATTTTCTTCTCCACCATCTAAGATGGTGGCCAGAGAAGTACGCAACACTCGAGAAAAGACTTCCAGCTGCTGGCATGCTGTTGACACGCTGGTTATCTCCCCTTGGTACCCAGCGTCAGATATAAGCTGCGCAGAAAAAAGACCAGAAGCTGAAGTAACATTGTTCATTACGATGTTTTGTTAAAGGCTTTCATGGCTGGAATCACTGGGTATTGTAGGTTTTTTGGGCTATATGGCCATGTTCCAGAAGCATTCTATCCCAGTTATATCCTACCGTGTCCATCCCCAGCATTATTTTTTAAATTTTAAATTATTACATTTGGCCCAGCCATAGGTTTTTGTTATTGTTATTATAAACAGTAAGTTATTGTTACTGTTTATTGCTTACTTTTGTTTATGAGATTTACTTTAATTGTTGTATTGATTGTTTCCTATTGTTTTTACTGTTGATGTACTTTGGGCTCAGCCTCATGTAAACCGCACCGAGTCCCTTGGGGAGATGGTAGCGGGGTATAAATAAAGTTTTATTATATTATTATTTATATTCTCTCCTGATGTTTCACCTGCATCTAAAGCAAGCATCCTCAGAGGTTGTGATGTCTTTTTCTTTTAGCGTCTCTAGCATCCTCACAACCTCCGAGGATGCTTGCCATAGATGCAGGTGAAACGTCAGGAGAGAATGCTTCTAGAACATGGCCATATTGCCTGAAAAACTCACAGCAACTCATTGTTAGTCACAGTTCATTACAAGATCCATATACACTTTTTAGCAGTTAGTATTTCACTAGATGAAAACTGAAAGGACAGATTAACAATGCCAAGTTTCCAGATGAAAAATGTTGATCAAAACCAGAGGAAATGTGAATAAACTATTTCATTATACTCAGAGGGATTCACTTGGATCAAATGCTAAATCTTAAACACACAACCACAAATAATGAGAAACAGTGATTGCTACTCTCACTAACATCTCTGCCACAAAAACTGAATAAAAATTCCATTTATTCTGGCTGACACTCAAGGCAACACATAGCTCCAGCGAAATACCTGTTCATGTCCATGTTTGCAAATCTCTTGTTCTTGACCATGGTAAGGAACTGACATGCTTTTCAAGCTGACCAAAATACAGTATTCATTACCTTGACAGTAAAGTTTAACATGAGGCAATCTGGATGAGCTTCAGCTAGTTTGTAGAAGAGGTCCCGCCACGTTGTGTGTGCTATCATTTGCTCAAGCCATGCTGGAGTCTGGCAAAAATAAAAACAAGGGAATGACATGGAATAAGGTGCCAGGAAAACCAGCCCGGGCTTTTAGAAAGGCATCAGCAAAAACAAAATAGGAAACAGTGTAGCATAGCGGAAAATTATTAATTTACACACTGGAGATTTGGGCTCAAATGCATAATCAACCATGAAGTTACTATCAGTCACCTTATCAAGCATTTTTTTTTTTCAAATCAGAAAGAGGATCAACAACCCTTGCTCCAAATCAATGGAGGGACTATGTAACGAGAAGCAAAACATTTGGTACTTTAAGGGAGAGTGACTAACTAATGCTAGAACTCATGACGGAGGGATAGGCTAAAGAAGAATTGACTCAAACATGAATCTTGAATGCCAGGAAATTTGATTCATCAAGCTCAGGGAAATACTGAAGAAACCTCGTGCCTAAATATGCTAAAAGAAAAAAGCAATTGGAAACAGTGAGATTTCATGAAGAAGGTACTGCTGAAAGCACAACCACAAACAATTCAATGGGAAAGACGAAACAGCTGAAAAAGCCAATTCAAAAAAGAAAGCAAAAAGAAAAGGATGAGTCACCAAGGAAGCATGCAGATGTGTAGTCCAAGTTTGGAGGAACACTATTAGGAAAGCTTAAGCTCAAAATGAGTTGAGACAGACTACGCAAGCAAGGAGCAACAAAACAAAGTTTTCCCCAAATACATTGGAAGCTTGTTCAACTCAGTGAAGAGAAGATTGAGGAGCGAAATGATCATAAAGAGCGTGATCATGTCATAGAAACATAGAATAATAGAGTTGGAAGAGACCTCGTGGGCCACCCAGTCCAATCCAACTGCCAAGAAGCAGAAAATCACATTCAAAGCATCCCTAACAGATGGGCATCCAGTCTCTGTTTAAAAGCCTCCAAAGAAGGAGCCTCCACCATACTTCAGGGCAGAGAGTTCCACTACTGAACAGCTCTCACAGTTAGGAAGTTCTTCCTAATGTTCAGGTGGACTCTCCTTTCCTGTTATTTGAAGCCATTGTTCCACGTCCTAGTCTCCAGGGCAGCAGAAAACAAGCCTGCCCCCTTCTCCCTATCATATCCCCTCAAATATTTATACATGGCCATCATGTCTCCTCTAAGCCTTCTCTTCTGCAGGCTGAACATGCCCAGCTCTTTAAGCCACTCCTTATAGGGCTTGTTCTCCAGAACCTTGATTGTTTTAGTCACCCTCCTCTGGACACATTCCAGCTTTTCAACATCTCCCTTCAATTGCAGTGCACAGAATTGGACACAGTATTCCAGGTGTGGTCTGACCAAGGCAGAATAGAGGGGTAGCATGACTTCCTTGGATCTAGACACTAGACTCCCATTTATGCAGGCCAAAAAACAACTCATTTTTTTTAGCTGCCGCATTACATTGTTGGCCAATGTTTAACTTGTTGTCCAGGAGTTATCACTCCTCAATCTTCTCTTCACTGAGCTTCACCTCAAAGGCAGCCACGAAAAGAAAGGTTCTCAAGGTGGGTTCTCAAGGTATATAACTAGGTCTATTGGTTTTAAGTTACAAGGTAGACCATGAGTGAACATTGCAAGGAACTTCTTGACAATGAGAGTGGAACCCATCGTGTAGAAGGGTATTGAGATCTACTTTTCTGGGTGTCTTTTGAAAGCGTCTGGATAGACAGCCCCTGCTGGGGATGCTCTAGTTGGAGATCCTGCACTGAGCAGAGGGTTGGACTTAATGGTCTGTATAGTGGAAGCATGGGCAAATTTCAGTCCTCCAGGTAGGAATTGTGCGAGCTGAAGTCCAAAACACGTGGAGGGGAGAAGTTTGCCCATGCCTAAAAGCACCTTTAAACTCTATGATTCTATGATCATTGATCTTCATGTTACTCAAATAATAATGAATGAAGCAGGGATACACAGAGTTAAGCATACACCAGACTTAGAATCTGTCGTACGTCGGTAAAATTGGAGTCAAGCCTGAAGAAGATTCCAACATTTCTAGCACAAGAAAACAGCAGCAAGAAGCCCTTCATGCCATTTTGAGGCCACAGTGTCTTTTCTACTGGCTTCATTTATGTCTTATGAGATGCAACTGTTCTGAGAAGGATTGTGATATATAGCATTATTTAGTTGCATTGTGTGCCTTACCTCTCCTTCCTCTGTGAAAATGGAATCTGCTTTTCGGGGGTCAAAATGTTTAATGAGCAAGCTTTTTAAGTGGTTCTCCACTGTCTCCTGGACTTGAATTGGCTCGACACCTGAAGCAATAATAATAATAATAATAATAATAATAATAATAATAATAATAATAGAAGAGAAACAACTGGAAAAGCTGACACGATATGACGATTTAAAGATCGAACTGCAAAGACTCTGGCACAAGCCAGTAAAGGTGGTCCCAGTGGTGATTGGCACACTGGGTGCAGTGCCTAAGACCTTGGCCTGCACTTAAACACAATCGGTGCTAACAAAATTACCATCTGCCAGCTGCAGAAGGCCACCTTTCTGCATGCATTATTCACCAATACATCACACAGTTCTAGACACTTGGGAAGTGTCCAACATGTGATTCAATATAACAGCCAGCAGAGTGATCTTGTCTGCTGTGGACTCATCTTGCTGTGTTTCTAATAATAACAAAAACAACAAAAACAACAGAAACAAGGCTCTGGCACAAACCAGTACATGTGGTCCCAGTGGTCATAAACACACTGGGTGCTATGCCAAAAGATCTCAGCCAGCATTTGGAAACAATAGACATTGACAAAATCACCATCGGTCAACTGCAAAAGGCCACCTTACTTGGATCTGCGCGCATCATTTGAAAATATATTACACAGTCCTACACGCTTGGGAAGTGTTCGACTTGTGGTTCTGTGATACGAAATCCAGCATATATATCTCGTTTGCTGTGACACACTGTGTTTTTGTGTCAGTAAAATAGAAACAAGTATATTTGACAGATGAATATACATTTGTTAAGAAGGAATTCCTAAGTCTCCCTGTGATTATCTGCGATTATGATAAAAGAGAAGACATTCTCTACCAATTTAAACCAGGAGGAAATTATAGTCAGAAGATGATCATTTTATATTGATTTGATTTAACACAATAGTTCTCATGTGAGGGCCCTATTTCTATTTTCAGATACTCAGTTAACTTGCTTGTTCAAAGTTCAGTCAATTCCCTAATTATAGATTTGTCCCTTGTATTCTGTCAAAAGTAACTCAAAAGTAGGGGGGATGGGGGTGGGTTGGCGTGAAATGTAATTTTAATGGTTTTCTTGACTTGTAACTGTGTTTTAACTTTTGTATCCACCCATGCCTTAATTGTTTACATTTACATTTTTGTAGCTATCTTATTTTAAATTTTATTAGGTATGTTATATTTGTTAGCTGCCTTGAGTCCCTATGGGGAGATAGGCAGGATTGAAATAAAGTTAGTAGTAGTAAGGTAAAGGTAGTCCCCTGACATTAAGTCCAGTCATGTCTGACTCTGGGGTGTGGTGCTCATCTCCATTTCTAAGCCGAAGAGCCAGCGTTGTCCGTAGACAGCTCCAAGGTCATGTGGCTGGCATGACTGCATGGAGCGCCGTTACCTTCCCGCCGGAGCGGTACCTATTGATCTACTCACATTTGCATGTTTTCGAACTGCTAGGTTGGCAGAAGCTAGGGCTGACAGCGGAAGCTCACGCCGCTCCCCGGAATCGAACCTGCGACCTTTCGATCAACAAGCTCAGCAGCTCAGTGCTTTAACCCACTGCGCCACCGGGGGCTCCTAGTAGTAGTAGTAGTAGTAGTAATAATAATAATATTTTTGTCGTGTCAGGAGCGACTTGAGAAACTGCAAGTCGCTGTTGGTGTGAGAGAATTGTCTGTCTGCAAGGATGCTGCCCAGGGTACCCCTGAATGTTTTTCTATCCTGTGGGAAGCTTCTCTCATATCCCTGCATGAGAAGCTGGAGCTGACAGATGAGAGCTCACCCTGCTCCCTGGATTTGAACTGCCAACCATTGGGTCAGCAGTCCTGCTGGCATAACAGTTTAACTCATTGCACCACTGGGGACTCCTAATAATAATACCCATATTTACTTGAGTTTAATCCGCCATCAAATCTAATGCGCACCTCAATTTTCAAATCCCTAAAACCCAAAAATGTATTTATCATATTATGCAAATCTAACGCGCACCCTAATTTTCAGAAGGTAATTTAGTCAAAAAAGGTGACCACTAGAATCGAGTAAAAACAGTAATAATAATACACTTAGCATATTTTTTTCCAAGTGATCAATAAGGAAGAAAGGCTGTAAAGACAACAGCAATTAAACTTCTATTGCTCTGCTACTCTTTTTTGGTATATTATTATAAAGGGGGCTTTGATGGGAATCAATAGGAAAATAATTAAAATAGAAGGGAACAAACCTGTCTGAATGAGCCACTCAGCCAACAAATTTACTGTCTGGGCCACAGCAGTATAGTTCTCCGATAAGAGTTGGATCACATTTTCAGGAGAGCCACCTGCCTGGAAATACCTGTAAAGAGAATAAACTTATCTTCACTGGATCCAAATCTCAAAGAATCCAACACTATCAGATTTTAAAGGACCTTCATGTGCTTACAAGTACTACAGCCTCCTCTTCCTCTCACAGCTCTTTTCCTGTACTCACCTTTTCAAAGTATTAAATATGGAGGGCTCCATGATATAGTCTCGGGTAGAAAATTTGTGCAAACACTCCTGCTGGACCTCGGCATCATCTTCTTCCCCATAATCATCATCTTGCTGTTTGAAAGGAGAGAAGTGGTTTATGTTAGGGTGTATTTCTTAGATTATACCATATTTAAGGTAAAAGTTTCCCCTGACATTAAGTCTAGTTGTGTCCGACTCAGGAGATGATGCTCATCTCCATTTCTAAATCAAAGAGCCAGCATTGTCCATAGACACCTCCAGGGTCATGTGGCCAGCATGACTGCATGGAGTGAAGGTAACGCCTTCCCGCTGCTAGCATGTTTTCCCCATTTGCATGTTTTCTAACTGCTACATTGGCAGAAGCTGGGTCCCAACAGTGGGAGCTCACCCTACTCCCTGGATTCGAACCGACCTTTCGGTCAGCAAGTTCAGCAGTTTAAACTGCTGTGCCATCATATTTACTCATGTCTAAAGAAGGTATTTAAGATCAAATCAAGGAGTGCCATGGTTTATAGCTTTGAATACATTTTTAAGGATATTAAATTGTATTTAAATGCTTTTAATGTAAGCCGCTTTGAATCTCCTTCGTGGTGAGAAAAAGCAGGGTATAAATAAACAAAATAATAACATTTTTCTTTCTTCTTTTTTGGGCTAAACTACATTGCCAAAATTGAAGTATGAATTGAATTAGATTGTGAATTATACTCGAGTAAATACGGTCATTCTATTAGTAGTTTTTCTGAAATTGTTTTCTTATTTTCTGAATAATAATAATAATAATAATAATAATAATAATAATAATAATAGAATCAAGGCATGTTTCATTACACTATTAAGCTACTTCATACAACTTCCTAAAACTCTCCAAATCCTTCAGATCCAACATCCACTTTCTCTCAATATCTAGAGCAGTGTTTCTCAACCTTCATAATTCCATGACCCCTTAATCCAGTTCCTCATGTTGTGGTGACCCCCAACCAGAACATTATTTTCGTTGCGACTTCATAACTGTAATTTGGTACTGTTATGACTTGTCATGTAAATATCCAATATGCAGGATGTATTTTCAATCACTGGACCAAATCTGGCACAAATACCCCATACACCCAAATTTGAATACTGGTGGGATTGGGGGGGGGGGGGGTTCATTTTGTCATTTGGGAGTTGTAGTTGCTGAGATTTGTAGTTCACCCTACAATCAAAGAGCATTCTGAGCATTCCAACGATGGAATTGAACCAAACTTGGCATACAGGACACCCATGACCAAGAGAAAATAATGGAAGGGTTTGGTGGGCACTGACATTGCGTTTTAGAGTTGTAGTTCACCTACATCCAGAGAGCACAGTGGACTCAAACAATGATAGATCTGGACCAAACTTGGCACAAATACTCAATTTGCCAAAATCTGAACACTGGTGGAGTTTGGAGAAAATAGACCTTGCCATTTGGGAGTTGTAGTTGCTGGAATTTATAATTCACCTACAATCAAAGAGCATTCTGAACCCCACCAATGAGAGAATTGGGCCAAACTTCCCACACAGAACCCCCATGACCAACAAAAAATACTGTGTTTGCTGATGGTCTTTGGCGACCCTTCTGACACCCCCTCGCGACCCCCCCAGGGGTCCCGATTCCCAGGTTGAGAAACACTGATCTAGAGATTGATAAATCCAAAAGTTTTATTACTAAGTGCAGCTGACAGGCAATATAAATTAGTAGCTGTGTGTCTATGGAAAATACTAATCATTGCAAGGAAAACTGTATACATGTGCTTTCCTATCATAAATGGTTGTTGTTGTTGTTCATTCGTTCAGTCGTCTCCGACTCTTCGTGACCTCATGGACCAGCCCACGCCAGAGCTCCCTGTCGGCCGTCACCACCCCCAGCTCCTTCAAGATCAGTCTAGTCACTTCAAGGATGCCATCCATCCATCTTGCCCTTGGTCGGCCCCTCTTCCTTTTACCTTCCACTTTTCCCCGCATAATTGTCTTCTCTAGGCTTTGCTGTCTCCTCATGATGTGGTCAAAGTACTTCAAATGGTTGATGAGTTAGATGTAATTAGAGTTAGATGTAATTCATTACCGATACTACCTACAGTATTTTTTTGTTGTTTATTCATTCAGGTGCTTCTGACTCTTCGTGACCTCATGGGCCAGCTCACGCCAGAGCTCCCTGTCAGCAGTGGCCACCCCCAGCTCCTTCAAGGTCGAGTCAGTCACTTCCATCCATCTTGCCCTTGGTTGGCCCCTCATCCTTTTTCCTTCCATTTTCCCCAGCCTCATTGTCTTCTCTAAGCTTCCCTGTCTTTCTCATTATGTGGCCAAAGTACTTCATCTTTGCCTTCAGTGAGCAGTCAGGCATTATTTCCTGGAGTATGGACTGGTTGGATCTTCTTGCAGTCCAAAGCACTCTCAGAATTTTCCTCCAACACCACAGTTCCAAAGCTTCTATCTTCCTTCGCTCAGCCTTTCTAATGGTCCAGTTCTCATATCCATAGGTTACTTCGGGGAATACCACTGCTTTAACTATGCAGACCTTCATTGCCAGTGTGATGTCCGAGTTAAATATTGAGACCATCTTAGAGACAGGGAACACCATATAAGAAAGAGACAATAAGAAGAAATAAAAATTCAAGAGCCTCAGTATAATCAGAACTGTGTCTTTCTCTCAAAGACTTTACCTCTCCTCATAATAATATATAATAATAAACTTTATTTATACCCCACCACAATCTCCCCAAAGGGGACTCGGAGAGGCTTACATGGGGCCAAGCCCGAACAAGAATTACAATATAACAATACAAATTGCAATAAAATAAGCAACATAACATTAAGATATAAAACATCAAGGCATATAAAACAATATACACAGAACATAGGTACTAAGCATAATGACAAAAAGACAAAGGGCGGGCCGCATGTACATAAAATGATTTAAAAACTTCGGGTGAATTCCAGAGTCGGGGGGCCACAGAGGAGAAGGCTCTCTCCCTTGTACCCACAAGGTGAGTCTGAGAGACTGGCAAGGGCAAAAGGAGGGTCTCACCCGAAGATCGAAGGGTACGGGCTGGTTCATGGAGAGAGATGCGGTCACAAAGGTAGGCGGGTCCCATACTTTGTCATAAAGACTTTGTAGTGAGATTCAGGACGAGAGAAAGTCTAAAATTCTTGACAGTTAATAAATTCTCGTTTGGCTCAACTATACAGTCCCCAATCTGTTCCCTGCACAGCCAGTTCACCTTCCAAGTAGTTGAGATGGCGTGGGGGCAAAATATCTCTACTCTTAACTATTTTACCAAGATTGGTCACTGCTTTCCTGCCAAGAAGGAAGCATCTTCCGATTTTCTGGCTGTAGTCCACATCTGCAGTAATCTTTGTGCCTAGAAATACCTCCATGTTTTCTCCCTCTATTTGCCAGTTATCAATCAGTCTGGTTGCCATAATCTGATTTTTCACTGCAACCCAGCTTTTGCCCTTTCTTCTTTCACCTTGGTTAGAAGGCTCCTCAGCTCCTCTTCGCTTTCAGCCATCAAGGTGGTATCATCTGCATATCTAAGGTTGTTAATGTTTCTTCCAGCAATTTTAACTCCAGTCTTGCATTCATCAAGCCCTGCATGTTGCGTGATGTGTTCTGCATACAAGTTGAATAAGTCGGGTGGGAGTAGACAGCCCTGCCATACTCAATCTTGAACCAGTTTCCCAATCTTGAACCAATCTGTTGTTCCGTGGTCTGTTCTTATCTTTGTTGTTACCCATTGAGCCCCCAGTGGTGCAATGAGTTAAACCCTTATGCCTGCAGGACTGAAGACCAACAGGTCGAAGGTTTGAATCCAGGGAGAGCACGGATGAGCTCCCTCTGTCAGCTCCAGCTCAATATGCGGGGACATGAGAGAAGCTTCCCACAAGAATGGTTAAAACATCCAAAAAAATTAGAAGTCCCCTGGGCTGTTAGGAATTGTGGAAGTTGAAGTCCAAAACACCTGGAGGGCTGATGTTTGTCTATGAGTGCATCCACACCATAGAATCAATGCATTCTAGATTACTGCAACGCGTTCTACGTGGGGTTGCCTTTGAAGACTGTTCGGAAACTTCAATTAGTCCAACGGGCGGCGGCTAGATTACTCACCAGAGCATCATACAGGGAGCATACCACCCCCTGTTATGTCAGCTCCATTGGCTACCGATCCAGTTCCGATCACAATTCAAAGTGCTGGTTTTGACCTACAAAACCCTATACGGTTCCGGCCCAGCGTATCTGTCCAAACGGATCTCCCTCTACGTCCCACCTCGGAGTTTAAGATCTTCTGGGGAGGCCCTGCTCTCGGCCCCACCTTTATCACAACTGAGATTGGTGGGAACAAGGAGCAGGGCCTTCTCGGTGGTGGCCCCTCACATGTGGACTTCACTCCCCGGGGAAATTAGGTCATCAACATCCCTCCTCTCTTTCAGAAGGAAGTTAAAAACCTGGATATGGGACCAGGCATTTGGGTAAACTGGCAGATGGATGAAAGACAATGACGACCAGAGTAGGAAAGGACGATGATAAATAAATAAATAATAAATAAATAGTGCAGTTTGATACCACTTTTGACAGCCTTGCTTCAATGCTATGGGATCATGGGAGTTCTAGTTTTGCAAAGCCTTGAGCCCTTTCAAACTGCAGCTCCCACGATTCCATAGCACAGAGCCAAAGCAATCTAACTGCATCCATTCTGGACCCCAAGGAAGCCTTCCTGGCCTTCTACACGTTTTGGACTTCAACTCCCAGAATCCTTCACCATTGGCCACGACAGCTGAGGCTTCTGGGAGTTGAAGTCCATATCACCATCCTAGCTGATCTCAGTACTGAGTTTTCCCGCTGTTTGGTTTTGCAGACACAAAGAGAGAGGCTGCCTGGCTGACTTCGCTTTGCCCGCCTTTATGGCCTCACCGCTCCTCCGTCGGTGTCGTCGCCCCACTCGGCTGCGCTGGCGCTGAAATACTCAGGCTCCTCCATTGAATTCCGCTGGTCACGCCCCCTCCCGCTGTAGCCACGCCCCTTCCTTACAACTCGGACTGAACCATTGCTGAGCGGAGAGGGGGGGAGAAGAGTGGCAGAACCCTTATGCTCTGGCTCCCCCTTTTGAGTCTGCACAGTGGTATCGCCCAAAATGGAGCAGAAAGAAAGAAACTAAAACATGGGCTCTAAAGCCTGAAAAGGATTGCGTCTACACTATGGATTTGTTGCAGTTTCACACCACTTTAAGTGCCAAGACTCATGGCTATGAAAGCCTGGGATTTTTGTAGTTTTGCAAGACTTTTATCCTCTACTAAAGGTTGCCACTGCTTCACTCTGATTTCATATCCTTGAGTTTCAAAGTGGTATGGAACTGGGTTAAAGCTACAGTGTAGATGGACCCATATGGAGTCATCATATTTTTATATCTATAGATGAGAGATATCTTGGAAATTGAGCCCCAAACTCAGTTTTTGGGCCATTTTGGAGTCATAAAAACGTTTGCAATCTGCTGTGGCTTTAAGGGAAAAATGAATCATATAATAATATTATAATTTTAATATAAATGTGTATATAGATACAAGTGGGTTAAACCGCTGAACTGCTGAACTTGCTAACCAAAAGGTCACAGGTTTAAATGTGGGGAGTGGGGTGAGCTCCTGCTGTTAGCCCCAGCTTCTGCCAACCTAGCAGTTCGAAAACATGCAAATGTGAGTAGATCAATAGGTACTGTTTTCGCGGGAAGGTAATGGCGCTTCATGCAGTCATGCTGGCCACATGACCTTGGAGGTGTCTACGGACAACACCAGCTCTTTGGCTTAGAAATGGAGATGAGCAACAACCCCCAGACTCAGATACAACTTGACTTAATGTCACACACACACAATGAAATATTATATTAAATATAACATAATATAAAATATTATCTTGAATATAATATGAAATACAATAGTAATAATAATAATCTGTAAAATATGATACAGTAAGATTCATCTTGCGAAGAGTTGAAAGGGATTAAAGTCTTCTAGTAAGCCTTTGGAACTAAATATAATATATATTTACATACAATGCGGTAAGGTAACAGCATGCCATGCAGTCATGCTGGCCACATGACCTTGGATGTGTCTAAGGACAACGCCGGCTCTTCGTCTTGGAAATGGAGATGAACACCACACCCCAGAGTCAGACATGACTGGGCTTAATGTCAGGAGACAACCTTTACATTTACATACACACACACATGTACATACACATAAAATACAATAGTAATAATATTTTTAAGATGTGATTCAGTAAGATTTATCTTGAGAAGAGTTGAAAGGGATTAAAGTCTTCTAGGAGGCCTTTAGAACTAAATATAATATATATTTACATATACACACACACACGTTTATAATAAATATTATATTAAATATAATGTAAAATACAATAGTAATAATAAGTTGTAAAATGTGATTCAGTAAGATTTATCTTGAGAAGAGTTGAAAGGGATTAAAGTCTTCTAGGAGGCCTTTGGAACAATATAATATATATTTACATATTATACACACACACACACACACAAAATACAATAGAAATAATACTTTAAAGAGGTAATTCAGTAAGATTTATCTTGAGAAGAGTTGAAAGGGATTAAAAGTCTTCTAGTAGACCTTTGGAACGAAATATTATATATATTTACATATCACATAGATATAATACATATTATATGAAATATAATGTAAAATACAATAGTAATAATATTTTTAAAGATGTAATTCAGTAAGATTTATTTTCAGAAGACTTGAAAGGAATTAAAGTCTTCTAGTAGGCCTTTGGAACTAAATATTATATATATTTATATAAATAAAAATGGTAATGTTTGTTTGCGGGATTAACATAACTAAAAAACCCTTGGGCGAATTGACACCAAATTTGGACACAAGACACCTGTCAGGCCAACGAGTGACCATCACTCATAAAACATTGAAAAACATAGCGTAAGGGACTTAAAATGCCAAAAAACAAAAAATATATTACAATGCATGTGCATAACCACACAAATACACATATACGCAAATATATACACACAAATATTATACACATATATGCAAACACAAAACACATATACACAGACTGGGCCACAGCAATGCGTGGCGAGTTGAAAGGGATTAAAGTCTTCTTTGGAACGCTACAAGCCACAAAAAAAACCCTAAAAGATATTTGCTCTGTAGGATATCTTCATCAAAACCAAGTTAACAACTGAACCAATATTGAATACTGTGAAATAACCGTGTGCCGTTGATATTTAGATTTACACTCAGCACCCAAAACTACAATTCAAAGCAGTTACTGGTAAGCGACACTTTCCAGATTCTGTCCCAATCAGAGAGAGTTTCTCCTAAGTCTCACCTGCAACATGTTTGTGGAAGTGAATGGGCCGCACTGCAAAGCTGTTGTCTCTTTGTTGGCTGCTTCCTTGGCCTCAGTGGGACTTCTAGTTTGCTCTGCAGTGCTTTCACACTGGAGGAAAAATGTGGTTCGCCACCATTTAAACTGCTATGGACTCATGGGAGTTGTACTTCAGTGGGGCAGTCACCCTCTGGCAAAGAAGGCCTTGCAAGTGGTGCCAAACTGAGTTAATTCAACAGTGTAGATGTACTCATAGCCTTGTAAAATGGCATTTAAATAAATATATATTTGTGTGTGTGTGTGTGTGTATGTATATAGTATATATACATACTATATACTATATACTATATACTATACCTTTATGTATGTATATATATAGTATATATACATAAAGGTAAAGGTAGTCCCCTGACATTAAGTCCAGTCATGTCTGACTCTGGGGTGTGGTGCTCATCTCCATTTCTAAGCCAAAGAGCCAGCGTTGTCCATAGACACCTCCAAGGTCATGTGGCCGGCATGACTGCATGGAGCGCCGTTACCTTCCCGCCGGAACGGTACCTATTGATCTACTCACATTTGCATGTTTTCGAACTGCTAGGTTGGCAGAAGCTAGGGCTGACAGCTGAAGCTTACGCCGCTCCCTGGAATCAAACCTGCGACCTTTCGATCAACAAGCTCAGCAGCTCAGTGCTTTAACCCACTGCGCCACTGGGGGCCTCATACACACACACACACACACACACACACACATAATGCAATAATAATTTTAAAGATGTAATTCAGTAAGATTTTTTAATTTCGTATCAAAAGCATTGCATCAATTAGTATAAAACTGATAAAAATAGAAGGAGCATAAGTGGCTAAATATCATGAGAAGAGTTGAAAGGAATTGAAAGTCTTCTGGTAGCCCTTTGAAACTAAATAAAATATATATTTACATATAATTTTCCATAGCACGGAGCGATGGGAAGTAATGTACGGCTGGAGTTCAAATGTGTTTGGGGGAAAAAAATCACGTTTTCCCCAGCTTAAATTTATTTATGGTCTTTTATCCATTATTATTATTATTATTATTATTATTATTATTATTATTATTATTATTTTAAAAACTCAAAACATAATTTTAAATATCTATTTAAATGCATTTATTATTATTATTTTATTTAAAACTGATATTTTTAGTGTTACTATAAAATTCTTAAATAAATTCATTTTAATAATATCCTTATTATTCAAAATACTATTTATTGTTATGAAAGTCTTAAACATATTTAATTTCAATAACTTTAATCCATGTATTACCTTTGTTTTTTCAAAGGTATTATTATTATTATTATTATTATTATTATTAGAAAGAAGCCTTACGTATATTTCATTTTAAGACCTTTAAATATGTTTTAATCTACAAACGTTATTTATTAATATTTCTTACTTTAAGTCTTAAATACACTTAATTTTAATTGTTTTAGACGCATTAAAATATAATTGTTTTAGTTGTTATTATTGTCATTATTTATATAATATTAATTTTTGAATCTTAAATATATTTAATTTTAACTATTTTACACCTTTAAATAATCTTTATTTTTATGGTGTTATTGCCATTATTTAAATATAATATTTGTTATTATTTTGAAAGTCTTAAATAGATTTAATTTTAATTATTTTGCATGTATTTAAATATAATCATTATTTAAATATAATATTTTGAGTCTTAAATATATTTAATTTTAACTATTTCAAACCTTTAAATATTATCTTTATTTTTATTTGTTATTATTGCCATTATTTAAATATAATATTTGTTATTATTTTGAAAGTCTTAAATAGATTTAATTTTAATTGTCTTAGACTTTTACATATATTTATCTATTATATGTAATATTATAATTACTGGAAAAGTTTTAAATATATTCAATTAAAACATATTCTGTAATAATAAATAAAAATAAATATATATATTTAAAATGACTTCTGTTTGTGCTTTTATTAAGGCAACACTATATCAAAATCCTTATTTTTCCAATGATTACTTGATGACATTTCTGACTTCTAATCCCAGAATGGTTTCTCAAAGCGAACCCGGAATAACGTAGCCAGACAGCATGAGGTTTTCCTCTTTGGGATGCTTTATCTATGGTGGTCTCCTCCCGGCGAGGCTTGTGGGTAATGGCGGGAGGAGAATTAAGTGGGCGAGGCCAAAGAGAGTGCAGTCACAGCCTATCAACAATACTTCCGGTTATAGAGCGAAGCCAATCGGGTCCCTGCCTGAGAGAAGCGACTCTTCTCTCTTAAGGATCTGTAATGACTTCATGTGGCCGCTTGGGGGCAGCAGTCGCTGATCTGCAGACGCTTCCAACACTATGGAATCAAGTGTGAAACTACCACTATCATTCCATAAGGGGAGTTAAAGTGGTGCCAAACCGCATTAATTCCACAGTGTAGACGCATCCATAGTTTTGAATAAAGTCCTGTTTGCTTATTAATATCACTAATATCACCTTGTCTCCTGTGCTATACTAATAATATAATATAATATATTGTATATACATATATTTATAATATTATAATGTAATCTATATAAATAAAAATGTAATGTTTAACAGAATTTAAAAACCACTGGGGGAATTGCCACCAAATTTGG